ATAAAGCATGGATTCCCATGCTTTATCCAAACTATTCATTTGTGCAGCTGGAGTCTAGGATTCTGGTTGTTGCCCAGGATCCTATGGTACTCAATGGGACAAGCAGAACCTGGAGGTGAGCTGCTGGTCCCCTAGATGGGCAGGTCTGTACACTGAGATAACAGGTTAGGAGACTGTGGACCAGCTGCCTTTGGCATCCACATGGAGGCTCTGTCCTCACAACCCTCAGCGGGTTAAGTAAATTCAGACCATCTGCCAGTGTGTGTTTGTAGGTGATTATAAAATCTCCCCAGGACAAACAGTGTGGTTGGATACAATGGAAGGTTGGGTGGCTTGGCTAGAAAATGGGGTATGCTACCTTACGTGTACAGCAGAGTGTGCAGAAAAGGCCTGGGTGCTGGGCTTCAAAGCTTTACATGTGAGTTTTGTGGATTGTTTTTACTCTCAGGAAAAAAATGAAATAAATCTGTGACACAGTAGGAACTGGGGTTAGTCAAAGAGGAAAAGAACTTTGTAGACTGACTGCTCCCAGGCGTGAGGCTTTTGCTACTGCTGAATCAAGGTAAAAGAAAATTTAGAAAAAAGGGAAGAAAAAAGAGGCAGCAAACAAAATAGGACAAGTTTGAATCTGGGACAAAGCAAGTATTAAAAGCACTAAAAGCAAATGTGCTTCAGGAAGGGAAAGCATCCAAATGTCTGTTTCAGCTAACAATGAAAAGCCCCAGCCTGCAGTCCCCAAAGGAAGCCAAAAGCCTGGACCAGAGGGCTGGATTAGACCTGCTCAAAAGAGAAATAACAAAAGGTTTAAAATCAGGCCATTACTAAATCCTCCTTCCTATGCAGAATTGGGGTGTGCATTTCCAGCCCCCACACAGAAACAGAGGGATTTCTTAAAAAGCCACTGTCTGTCTAAACCTGCACACAGCATTGATGTGTATCTGACATTCACACACTCACTTCTCTCCCAGTGAGATCATTTAGTATCATGGGAGCACTTTCCCGTAAGCGTGTGGACACGTGACCAGAACTGCACTTGGCACATTGACACATTAAAACAATTTGGTTTTTTTTTTTTCCTCCTTTGCTCTTAGTTCAGTTTTGCAATACCAAAACTTGTGCTACGGACCTCTCTCTGCAGCAAGGGTAACATGAAAAGAAGGACCTAGCCCCATGTGCCTGTCTAATACCCCTACAGCTTCTCCCAGAGGAGCTTTGCCATGGTTCTTTGCCAGATTCCAGACTGGAACCTGTGTTTGGTCTCTCTGAACTCTCCTTGCATGTGGAATCAGAGACAGGAGAGTCTCTCCTGCTTCCTGTCCTGGTGGTGTTATGTAAGGGATTCCACTAATGCACTAGCATAACATTAAAGGTCAAAAGGGACTAATTTAATGCATGCATAGGAGAACAAGTGGCTGGATCTTGCTGTATACCAGATCCCCCCCACTGTTGCTTCTAGATGTTTTAACTGTCATAAACTCCAGAAAGCAAAAGCAAAGCATTTCAGAAGTGGCTTTATTTCTATGGCAGGAACCTCCAAACGTGATTCATTTTTCAGTCTGCGTTGTCTGAGATCGCCGGGGAAGGAAAGTGCTAGGGGAATGGGCTGCTGTTATATAGTCTGTAGCTGCCTGGCATAGCGACCTTTCTCTGTAGTTCTCAGGAATGTGCCAGATGCATTCAAACAAATGCATTACATGGTCTCTGTCCAAAGTTCTTAATATCTCAAATTTGCACAATGCAAATAAAAGGTAACAAAGCTGTTTGGGGAGAGGATGACTGATGGAGGTTACATTAAGACCATGGGATTACTCAACAGAGGCATGCAAACATCCCTGGACAAAGTTTATCAGTCTGTTCCAAATTCTAATTTGTTGGAGCATTGTTTGTGCAGATTATGCTAGGATTTTACTTTGGATCCTTATTGTCTGAAAGACTCCTCTTTCTCTGAGGACCTCTATTCCCCTCTCTACTGGTAGCAAAAGATTTAAAGCTTAACAAAACTCCAGGCCACCCAGCCACAGGGTAAGATTTCCAGTAACTGATTCTGGATCTGAAATCCCCCGCCAGTTTGCAAAGCCAAGTCTAAAACTTCAAATGGTAAAAGCAGGGGATATTTGCCAGACGTTGCTCTTCCCAGAGATTTGTAGTTGTGATGATAATTCCATTCTAGTACCTCTTACACTGTAGGTTTTGACTTCCTGCACCAGCAAGCTGCAGTAGTATTGTACAGAAAGTACCGAAGCAAATTTAGACATACGGAAATACAAGACTAGGCCAGAAATCCATTGCATGCAGAGAAATAACTGATTATCCAACAAAAGTAAAATTAATCCCTTTTTAGAGACCTTATTTCTCAGCAGCGCTTAGCCTTTGTAATTAGTTTACCTTATTGAGGCCAGCTGTTGAAATAGCACCTCCCATAGAGGCTGGATGTAAGCAGGCTTGGACTTTGTTGCAATGAAGGGATTTGGCACTCCAGTTTAGCTACAGGTAGACAGCTTGCCAGCAGACTGGAGACTACACCTGATTTGTTTTGTGAGGCTGAAAGTCAAGCCGGTGCTGGTGAGTGCAATACAGAGGTCCAGCTTAGAAGTTCCAAAACAAAGATTCCTTTCCAGTGGTCCCTTCTGAATGGAGGGAGCTCTGCTCACAGTTACTCTTTTTATAAAGATGCATGTGGGGAGGCAGAGGCAACAATGCCTGCTCCTGCTTCAGTCAGAACCTTTTCTCAGTGATCAGTCTCAAACTGAAATGTGTTTGTGTTGTTTCAACAGGTATCTGACCCGCTGGTCCATCAGGTCTGCAAAGCCCATCTGGAAGAGGGGCCCCAAGTGGTGCAAAAAGCCCTTCCCAGTCGGACACCCTTTGCTGAAAGATAATGTCACATACACACAAAAGCTTCTCTGTTTAAACCACTAGTGGCCAGAACCAGAGTAGCCAGTAAGCACAGCTGTTTTCCGCTGTTTCTGCTGTTTTTGCAGGTTTGTCAGTACCTCCAACTTTCTTATTCCAAAACCTTATTAGTATTGTCTGCAGTGTGAATGAGCTGCAGTCTGCTCCTCTAGGAGCAAAGCAAATTTAATGTGCAAAATGATTTGGAGAAAGGAAGGGGCAAAGGTGCTTACCTCAAAGCCAGAAAGGGTCTGAAGGCTTTTGTTTCATTATGGTCCACAGCTGGATTTGGAAAAGGATGTTTCCTCCTTTTTCCAGCAGTGAACAATGATTCCCCATTAACCTGTATTTCAACTCAGATTTGCCTCATTTGGGCTTTTGTGCCTGGTTTGTGCTTCACTCCTGGATATAGCAAATACAGTATGTTGACATCCTTGATGACTTGACTTGTTTTTTCACCCTCCCCCATTCTATTTGCCCTAAGTTTTCCATGTCAGTGATACTGCTGCTTCCTGGGATCATTTGGGGCTGATAATGTGCATCATTTTCCATCCTGTAACTAAAAAGTGGCACCATTTCTCTCCCTGTGCAGTACATGTATGCACCATCCACCTACTGACCACTGCTGCTTGAAAAGTGCTACTTACAGGCCTGGTATGAAAGGCTCATTAAATTTATCAGGGTCATGATTGCCTTTGGCTCCTTTCTTTGATAACTGTCTGGGGGCTACAAACCAACACAGCTTTTTTATGTACTACTGTGCCACTTAACCTTGTACTGCCTTCATCAGAATCATCTGCCAATACCTGTTGGCATAGACAGGAGGAAAAAGTAAGGGTAAACCCTTATTACCCAGGAAATCAAATTAGATCATAATGGCTCTTTTTAGCCTTTCTTGGTGAAATGCAAGCCCTACATTCAGCCCCTTGAGCTGACCAAAATCTTTTTGCTTTGGGAGGCAGAGCCAACGCTTCATTAACTATCATGAGATAAAATCTCTGGCTGACCACCTCTGTTTTATGAAGCTGCAGCCCCGCAGAAAGGAAGAGATTTTTTCATTCTCCTACAAACAGAAGTTACTGTGTCTTCTAGCCCAGATAGCTCTGCAGAGTGAGCTTTCCAAATAAAAAAGTGACTGGATTAAATCATGCTTTGAGATGAACCTGAATGAGCACCTTTTCCAAAAAGACTGATTGATGCAAAAAAAAAGTTTGGGTTTTTTTTCTACAGTTTAGTGCCATGAGCTGGAAAGATCCCTCTAATTTTGGTGAAACTGAACATCTAAAAATCAAAATACTCTCTTCAATATGCCTTTCTACAGTTCAGGGTTTAGAACAGATCCCTTACAGTATGCATCAGCTTTCCATGCTGACTCAAACTCTATTTCTGTTTGTCATTCATGGGTGGCAGCTGGCATTCATTCATGTTGTCTCCAAATTAGTTTTTGTGTAAGCGTGGTGTCTTTGTAATCAGACAGATGGCCTTGGTTTGATTTCTGACCTCAGGCTTTGCCCATCAGGGAAGAAAATGCCATTTGTTACTATCTAAAGGATCTGCATGACACATTACAGGGAATTCAATCTGGAGTTGAGGGAGGATTGCACACAGTGAAGTCCTACAAAAAGAATCGGGGCCAGAGTCCAAACACAGAAGAATCGTGCTTAAAGTGCAGAGGTTTCACATATTTATTAGAACAAGCACTAAACAAAAATATCCTAAGTATAAAATCTAAATGTTCTTGAATCCTCACCCTGGACAGGAGAGTCACAGCATGAAGGGCAGATCCAAGTTCTTCTCACCGTTGCCAAAGTAGATGTAGCCATATTGCTTGGTCATTGGGACGTGGTAGAAGGTCAGTCCAAGCCATAGCAGGCTCCGCAGTACCACCACAGTGCCTCCCTTCTCTAGCTGGACAGTCCAGGAGCCTGTGCAAGAGGATGTGCTAATGAGTTACTAGGAAGCAGGAAGAAGCAGTGCTGCTGGAGCAAGCTGTCTCCAAGCTGACCAGAGGACTGCCATGGGTTCAGCCTCACCAGTTAACAGTGCACAAGGCTGTACTGGTGTTTATGACACCTGAAAGAAGGAAGCTGGGAGACCAGAAACCTTGATAACCTTTTTTCTTTTGTCAGTTCATCATTATATTTCCGTATGTCTGCCTCTAGGTTCACACAGTAGCATATTCCCATGGCTATGATGGTAATGCCATATGCGTCACAGGAAGGAACTCCTGGAGCTCCTATCTTGTATACTTGAGACCTAGTTGAAGCTACAGCTATTCTTGGCTGCTTTTGAGTGGGCAGCAGTTACTCTAACAAGCTCTGTCACCTACTTGGTCTGGCTAATAGCTGCAGAGAGCCAAGACTAGCTACAGCAATCCTGCATAGGTATGAAATTTCTTCTTAAAATAAACTTGTAGCATCAGTTGTGGGAAGAGAAAGAAGGCGCTTTCCTGATCCAGGGAAGACTGGTTTCCCTGATGCAGCAACTGGGAAAGAGGAAGAAGAGAAAGCAGAAAGCAGGGTATTTCCTATCTCAGAGAAATCTACAGAAAAGGTTAATTCTCTTCAGTCTTTCTTGGCTCCACCACTGGAGAGGATGTGCGTGGTAGGGGCAAAGGGATTAGTTTCTGCATTAATTTTGCTTTGGCTCTGAAGAGGATCTTCAGAGCCAGTGTAAAAATGCAATTTCTCCTGGATGCGAGGAGCTCTGAGCCACTGAGTATTTATTTTGCATCCGACATGACAGCCTGGGAACAATGCCAGGAGGGAGGGAAGGGGGCTGGAGCATCAGCTTGGATTCAATACCCTTGGAGGGCAAGGAGCTGCCAGGAGAGGAAAATGCCAGCTTCAGCACCAAATCAGTAATGCCTAGAGGCTGCATTGTAGGGAAGGTTCCTGCTGAATCTCCATCTTGAGGCAAAAGCCACAGGCACAAATTAAAAGGGAAAAAAAAAAAGACAGTTGGAGCTGTCAGGCTACTACTGGCCTGGATTCAAGTCAGCCTATCTGCACCCTGAGCCAGAATCTGCCAGTTCCAGAGTAAGCAGAAGGCCCATAATGTGTTGGGCCAGTTAGCCAGTATTCATCTTGTAGATAATTTTAGGCTCATCAATTTATGCTCTGACTCATGCTTACTCATGTCATGGTTAGCCTGGGGAAGGGCTTCTGTGATTGCTGTCAGCTGCCAGTCCTCCCCCTCACTTCCGACTCATGGCCAATTTTACTCACATCCGACAAAGGGCTGAAGAAGTTCCACCACAAGTTCCTACTACAGGTCTCCACAGAACATGGCCCAGGGGTTGACTGCAGCTCCTGCAGATATTTGGTCTGCCCACAGCTGTGAGGGAGCACAGGTTGCTTGGTTTGCCTGGCAGCCAGGAGGCAGCAGCTAGCGGTGCAGTTGGTGTTGGGGGTAACTTTGGGCTCTTGCACACTCACAGTACACGTAGTTTCTTATGCAGTTCATGGCAAACTACAGTAGTTGAGGGCTTGAAGGAGGGGAGACATGTATGTGGTGGCTGCAGAATCATAAAGAAACACCACGGTTGAAAGCCCTGTAAAACCAAGTGTCACAAGTTGTGCTGCTCACCTGTTTCCCATCTCCCTGTATTTCTGTATTTTTCAGAAGTTTGTTGGACAACATTGTTTGCCCTGTCTCCTTCAGCAACATGTTCCACAGCTTTGTTATACCATAGCGTAAATCCTATATCATTTTTATCTGTTACTTTTCAAAGTACCCTCTTCAGTTATGTGCAAATGTGGAACTAAATGGATAGATTGTGGCTGCAGGACACAAATACAAAAGAGACATTCACAGTCTTTAAAAACTCAGGAGATTTCTGCACTGGAAAGCTTACTTCTGACTCACTCAGCTCCATGTTTCCACTAAAGACAAACAGCTGAAATCACAGTAAAGCAAAGCACTACTTAATACAGGGCAGGGCCATTACAGGTGTGTGCCATCTTCTCACCTTCCTTGCACTCCTGTAACATTCTAGTTAAAACATGAGCTAGTGTCTTCACGAGCAGTGGTTTCACATACAAGGCAACCCCAGTCTCCTATGCAGTCTCTCCATTGCCTCACATGGACACAAACTGAATCAGATCTTTGTCACACCTGAGTAAAAACACATGCTATGTTTCAGCCAGTGGCATTAAAAATTCTGACCTATTGGGTTTCCGACAAAATCTGCATGTTCTTAAGAAATTTCATTACTTTGATAGTATGGAAACCCAGATGAAGAATACTTCACTACAAGGCAGATCATCCAGTGGCTGAAGCACTACAGCCATCTGCTGTCAAAGGACAAGCTTTCAAACAGTTTCTTGAACTTTGCCTCCACGAGTTTTCAGTATTTGCTTAGTGGCAGTAGCTAGACTGTGCATGGGGCTGTTGAGCAACAAGTGGCAAGTGCATAGGTCTGAATGCAATTGTGACAAATAACTTTTTCCATTTCTCCTTTGAACACTGAACTGACTTTGCTTTAAGTGCATGGTTCTTTCAGCTTGAACTTGCAAAGTTATTTGCATGCCCTTCATCCAAATACTGGTGGGTCTTGCTACAGCTTTACACGTTGGTTTGCAGAGGGGGGACTGTAAACTTTTGGAAGAGTTTCTCTGACAAAAAAATAATGGAATGAGAAACTCTCATTGTATTTTAGGACCAGTCCTCCAAGAAGCAAGTCTGTCAAGAATAGGACTGTGTCTTGCCTTGTTGGGTGGCAAAAGCCTGTAGGGATTATCTAGTTTGCTAATGCCTCATGACATACCAAAAGCACCCAACAGCCTGGGTACACATGATAGCATGTATATATATGTTCGTGTACACAAATGAACCCTCTGCCCCAAAGTATTTACAAAGCACAAAAGGAAATGCCTGGACCATGGCAAGTGGGAAAGGTGAGAGGGAAAGCAGGGATATCAATGCTCCCAGGACCTATAACTGGATTCAGACTTTTTTGTTGGACAAATTTGCAGAGAGGGTAGAGAAAATCAAGTTCAACTTGATTGAATCCCCATACCTATGCTTTTTCAACTTGATTGAATCCCCATACCTATACCCCAACAGGGTACACTGATCCATGATCTCCTCAGAACATGTACCCAGTGTTACACAGGCTTATCAATCTCTGCGGAGTATTCAGCAACAGTTGACTGCTGATCAAAGGAACTTCCCATGCACCTTCACACCTGGCAGAAGTGGACAGATGTAATTGAAGACAGCTCCATTCACTTTTATGCCAGATCTGTGAAGGCTGTGATGTGCAGCTGCTTCATTTCCCTCCAGCCTATCCAAGCTGCAAACTCTCAAAGGGCTCAAATTCATAAATGTGAAATGTTTGGGGAATACTAAGTTGTTATACTTTCAAGTTCTTCTCCAAGCCTTGATTCTCCATCTAATTCTATGCAAATATGGACAGTAAAGTTTTGCTGGTGCTGCGTAAGTATTCATGTGAACTGAGGGCAAAACAAGCAGGTTACTTCAGGGCAATCCCAACTGGACTGACACAGCATGGGTTGAGGATAGGGAAAAAATTTAAGAAACTGCCTGAAACGATAATGTCATTTTCACACAGATCCTGTTCGCAGCCAGAATGATGGTTAGCCATACAGCTGCTTTTTATTCTTCAGGGCCAAACAGCAGCAGCAGTACCACCTTTACTAACCAGATCACTGGGCACGTTTCTCTAACCCAGCTATGATAAGTGACTTAGTCATGTCCTGGGTTCAGCAGCAGCAGTCATTTTTCTCCTTCTTAGTAGCTGGTGCAGTGCTGTGGTTTTGACTTTCAGCCTGGGAACAACACTGATAACACCGATGTTTTCAGTTGCCGCTCAGTAATGTTTAGTCTGACCAAGGACTTTCTGAGTCTTATGCTCTACCAGGGAGGAGGGGAAGCCGGGAGGAAGCAGAGACAGAACACCTGACCCAAACTAACCAAAGAGGTATTCCATACCACAGCACGTCATGCCCAGTATATAAACTGGGGGCAGTTACCCAGAAGGGCTAGATCATTGCTCGGGTCAGGCTGGGTATTGGTCGGTGGGTGGGGAGCAGCTGTATTCTCTTCCCTTGTTATTTCCTTTATCATTATTATTATTGGTGGCAGCAGCAGTGATTTGTGTTATACCTTAGTTACTGGACTGTTCTTATCTCAACCCGTGGGAGTTACATTCTTTCCATTCTCCTCCCCATCCCTCCAAGAGTGGGGAGAGGAAGGGGGGGGGAGTGAGTGAGTGGCTGCGTGGTTCTGGGTTGCCAGCTGGGCTTAAACCACAACAATTCAGTACACTTCTCCAGGCTAGACTTCTGCAACATACAAAACCATACAGAAACTGCACTTGATACACAATGCTGGTGTCTGCCTTATTAGAAGACATCACATTACAGTTCTGGGACCTGCCTGCTTTTCTTGGTCCTTTAAGAAATTAAGAGTCCATTATCTCAATACTTATTTTCATAGAAATACAGAACAGTTTGGGCTGGAAGGGACCTTAAAGCTCATCCAGTTCCAACCCCCTGCCACAGGCAGAGACACCTTCCACTAGACGAAGTTGCTCAAAGTCCTGTCCAACCTGCCCTTGAACACTGCCAGGGATGGGGCAGCCACAGCTTCTCTGGGCAACCTGTGCCTCACCATGCTCAGAATAAAGAATTTCTTCCTAATGTTTAACCTAAATCTACCCTAATTTTTTTCTACATGTTAGCAGTATTTGAGGAAATTGTATATAAAAAAAAAAAAAAGAAAAGAATATTTGAGCTCACAAGACATGGAGAAAGTTGTTCTCCTTAAAAGATCCAAGACAAATGTATTCTCTTCCATCACAGCTCAGATTTCATGATCTTCAGACACAATACTTTTTCAGGCCCACCTTTCTTGTAGGAGTTTGAAATAATGATGTTATAAATCACTCCAAAAGTACTTTAATCAGCAGCTAATGAACAGTATGAAATAATAGCTTAAAATTAATATGCCTTCTTTCCTCCTTCAAGAGAAAGTCTTAGAAATGCATTTAACAATAAAATCTGAAAAGGGATGAGGAGAATTGAGAATTACTAATTATGAAAATTAAAAGCTTTTATTTTCTTTTTAAGAACCTTCCCTGCTATTGCAAATGGTTCTTGGAGTAAAATCATCGCATAGGTAGTTGTAGGTCTGTATTACTATAATAAAAATGCAGAAGCAGGATGCTGGGTTCAAATTCTTGCTAACATTGGCTCAGAATATCCCATGCCAGTCCCTGTGCTTGTCATTGCCCTTGTATCAGATAACAGGTCTCTTACTGGGAGGCTGGAAAGCTGTAAGAAAGCATCATCAATCTGTAAGGCACACCAAGACTCCTAGATAAAAGTCATTAGGAAAAATTATTATTACTTGAATTAGAGGGAATAAAAGTAGAACTTGGAGACAGCAAGTAAAAGCTGGCTTTTCTGGAGTTAAGTACTGATTTTAACTTGCATCTGTGTGTGAGCTGTAGCCTGTATTGTCTCTAAATCAGACAGCAGAGTTAACTTCGCAATCATGCAAAGCCACTGAGGTGCAGGGAACTGGAGGTCATTGCTCTCATGCTGGAGATTTCTTAACAGTAACACTGCTCTGGTGAGGTTTCCATTCTTCAAAATACGTTTTTTTTAAAAGCAAGTTAATTCTTAAGCTGCACCCAGCAAACCTAAGGAAGCCAAGCACTGTCTGTGCTGAAGCCATTGCCTGTTGCTGCTCCAGAAGGGAAGGGAGGGAGCTGCTGTGTGGGAGGAAAGAGCATGGGAAAAATATCCGCTGGATGAAGATCTGGAGCTTCCTATTCCCTCTTTGGATCAGCCTGCAGCCTCCACCCCTCCAAACACAGGCAGGAATTCTGAGGAGTTCCTTACATCTTTCCCAAACAAGAAAGTGCTTTGAAGATCCTGATGCTCACCCAGTGTTAAACCACTGCCTTTTTTATGGCCCTTCAACAGCTGCCAGGACACCAGGGCTGAATTTCAAAAGTCAACCTCCTTCTCAGCTTCTTCTTCCTTTCCAGTCGCCAATAGAAATCCCTGTCTCATCCCCTGTGTCTGTCTCGGCTATGGGCTGAATCTTGTAATCCACTGAGGCAAGAGGGTGCGTGAGATGTTAGCTTTTAAACAAAAGCCTTTTAAGAGGGCTGTTTGCAGAAGAACTTTCCTGCCATAACGTCCACTTTCAGTATGACCTCTCATAACATGCTGCTTTGGAGGTGATTCAGCAATGCCTCATTTCAGTGCAAGCTTGAGAAGAAACAGCTTTAAGAGCTAGACAGCCTGATAAAGAGGCTCCATGTCACAAATGCTCACAGAGGGTCATAAAAGTGACATTATCAATTCCTCTTCAAAGGAGGAAATGTCTCAAGGGAAAAGCAGCTACAGCATGGTTGCACTTACCATTAACACAATATGCTGCCACAAGAGCACGTAATAACATATCTTGCTGCAGTCAGTCCTGAGAGAGAGTGAAGTATGGAGTAATGGGACAAATATTAACACCCAGAGAGGGGCAACG